CAGTATTTCCTTACATTGTATGCATTAGTCATAAAAATAGGCTTCCCTTGATTTCTTAAAGGATTTCATTATATTTTCCAACAATTGTTTTTCAGAAAGCAGTTTGTGGCAATGGAAATAAAAGATATATAATTTTTTACATTCAAAATACAAGATCTGAATATTTTTTCCAACAACATCCACCTTGTTTTGTGTCAGTTTTCATTCTCGCTGTACAGATTTCCCAACCCTTATAATCTTCCCACATCCAAGATTCAGAATGCTACAATTCAAACCCACTTAGGGGACAGTAGATTAGCGAAGGCCACATTAATGTATCTACAACCTTACAACCTACAATGTCTACAACCCTTTTGAACCTTTGGGATTTAACTTACTTAAAATATCTTCTTTTTTCACATAGCATCCATAAGATAAATTCTGTGGTCTTTTTATTGTGAGATAAAAGTAACTTCTCTGCATTCTAAAGGAGTTGCATTTTCATAACACTAATTTACAGCACTGTTGATACCACTACCCTGAAAAAATACGTGTTAACAACTGTAGCATTTGCCACAAAGAATTTGATAACTAAGTAGTTATAAATAGGGCCCATATGGCAGTGACCAATGCTTAAAGATCCCATGCTGTTATCTTTCCATGGAAAGAACTGTGTGCTTCAGATGGATCTAAAGCTACAGTACTTATTTTTTTTTCTTTCTGTGACAGTCTTCCTGAAATTCTATTAGGGCTATTATACATCTGCTGGGGCCCCTGCTTTTGAACTCTCCTTAAATGGTCATTTTCATCTCAAATATCAGCAGGGGAGGATCAAATAAGAGGTCTGTCACTTTATTTATTTATAAGGACATTTGTAGTCTGGAATTGTGAGGCAGATACACCAAACTCATCACAAATGTGTAACAACAGAAGCGGTTTCATTTGGCATTGCATATGATGTGCATAAAATTCAAAGCTGGCATTTAGACGCTGAATTAACGTTAAAAGATGATCAGAAGTACTAGGTGTGGTTAAAATGTAGAAAGTCCTTGATGGAGTTTCAACATCTTTTTTTTTTTTAAATAAAATCAGTCAGGATGGGAATAGCTACCTAAAACTGTTTTGCTGTTCCCACTCCCAAGAAGAAATACAAGACTAGATAAAATACGAGTCTGACTCAATGGCTTTTATGACAATTTAATGATGCTAACAGAGCAACTGTAAAATATTATCAGCATGACAAATATCAGGTTTAAGTTTCAAAACAGCCCCAGCCCAATTCTTTGTGCCAGACAGAATTATTTAATATGGCTTGTTACAGGTGTCTGGCCAAAATTTTCATTTGAGAAGCAAACTATTCATTTCATGCTGCCATAAAGATAACCTTTATTGTCATTTTTTTCTGTGAATAAAGAGGCTACTGATCTGATCATTCCATTACCAAAGCTGGCTTCAGGATCATAGAACTAGACAGGACCATGATCATTCAGTTCAACCTCATTGTCAGCACCCAAATCCAAACTAAAGCTAAAGACACATAGCTGTTTAATTTCAACTTGGACATGCACAGTGCCTGGATGTCCACCAACACCTTGGGTAACCGGCTCTTCTGTCAAAGTACTCTCACTGTGAAGTGATAGTACTAGCCCTCCATTAGCATTTGCCTTCCTATATCTTAACTCCATCACTCTGCAACAAAAGAGAACCAGACTTGATCTTTTATAGCAGTGGTTCTCAACCTTCCTAATGCCGCGGCCCTTTAATACAGTTCCTCATGTTGTGGTGACCCCCAACCAGGGGTGGGTTCTAATTTTTTTTACTACCGGTTCTGTGGGCATGGCTTATTTTGTGGGCGTGGCTTGGAGGTCATGTGACTTGGTGGGCATGGCTAGCTGGTCATGTGACCGGGTGGCCATGGCTATGTGTATAGGGACTACTCAGAGGGCTGAAAAAAGTGATTTCTAACAGGTCCTCGCACTTTTGACCGGTCTTCGCACTTATGACTGGTCATCATTTATGCCCATTGTAGCATTCTTAACAACCGTGTCACTCATTTCACAACTGCTTCTCTTCACCATGGTGACAAGATAGGGCAAAAACATAAAATGTGAAGACAGTCGTAAGTTCGAGGACTGGTCAAAAGTGCGAGGACCAGTCAAAAATAACTTTTTCAGCCCTCTGAGTAGTCCATATGCATAAAAGGATACAGCAATAGAGAGGGATGAAGGAAGGGAAGGGAAATTAGAGTAGGAGTGAGGGTCAGAGAGGGAGGAAGAGAGGAGGAGAAGGAGAAAGGAAGAGGAAGTAGGGAGGAGAAGAGGGGAGGAAGAGAAAGTAAGAAGGAAAGAAAAGAGAGAGGTGGTAGGTTTGAGGAGAAAGATTGCTGTACAATAAAAAAGATGAAAGGGAAGAAAGCCAACCCCAAACAAATATAAAGATATTAAGATAAAGAATGAACTGTTAAACTTTAAAGATAAAAAGAAAACAAATATGAATAAATAACAATAATTAGAAACACACATACAAACATACAATGTATTTTCTTTTAACAGAGTATTTGGTTCACAAATTTAAACAGTGTTTAGTCACTTTATAATTTCTATGTTTCCTTTTTGCCATATTTATTCCTCATCTATTTTTTTTTTTAAAAAACCAGTATTACCCTTCATCCTCATCTCTAATCTTAATCAAATTCAATTTTTCCCTTCTATTCTATATTATACCCCTTCCCATTGTCATCTATTTTTATATCCATCCTCACATTGGTTAATTATGTAATATTACAATTGTTTAATATAAATTCAACATTTTAATATAAATCAATTAGTTATATAACTACCTTTTTTGTATATTAATCAATATGAACATGAATATTCCAATTATTTCCATGCAATCCAATTTCTTACAAATCAATTAATTATATTTACCAATAATAATAAACCAAATAATTTCCTCCATATATTCCTCCAAACCACAATTTAACCATTTCTGCTTTCAACACAATATACAATTAATAGTATCTCAATTATTACAATTCCCTAGTTAAATAGAGCTTTTTTTCTTTTGTGTTTTAAAATCTTGAACTCTCCTCTTTTTCCCTAAATTTCCCATTGTTTGCACCTACCTTTTTTGGTGAGGAAAAAGAAAAGAAATCTGCCTGCCTAATTTTCCAACGTTGCAGCAACAGCAAAGCAGTTTCAGTTTCGTTTTTCAGCATAGCTAGGGGGAAAAAAATCTGCTCCAGCAAGCAAGCAAGAGCAAATCAGCTGAGAGTCGGGAGCCGATCTAATCAAGGGCTAATTAACCTATGCTGAAGCTCCGGAGGCCAATAAAATTACAAAAAAACACCGAACCATTTGTTAAATTGCTGGCTCTCCCACCACTATTTATTGGCAATAAATAGTGGTGCGGAGGGGTGGGGCAAGCCAGCAATTAACAAACAGTTCGTTTGAAGCCCCACGGCAAGAATTTAAACAGTTTTTTTTCCTCTAGCCATCAGCTGGGACTCAGGAGGCAGCAATAGATTGGGAGTGGGCGGGGTAAGCGAACGGCCGGCGATCCAACAGAGCAGAGAGTGAGGGTGAGTGAAGGCGTGGGGGGGGTGGCGCGAGAGAGGGTTTGGCGACCCCTGCAAAATGGCCATTCGACCCCCAAAGGGGTCGCGACCCCCAGGTTGAGAACAGCTGTTTTATAGGAAAACTTTTCAAATCTTTAAAGAATGCTTTCATATTCCCACGCCATTGACTTTTCTCAACACTAAATATACTCAGTTCCTTCCATAGGTGGGCGTCACATACTGTAACAACCGGTTCGCCTGGAACCAAAAATGTGAGCATGTGCCTTCCGCGCATACACACGGCATCAAAAACCCGGCGATTATATATACATGATAACACCAGGGCGGGTGGGTGGGTGGGCCGAACCGGCAACAGCCCACCACTGGTTCCTTCCATCTCTCTCCGTGTAAGACTTAGCTTTTAGACCCGTGGTTCCAACCTTTTTTTGGCCATGCCCCACTTAACCATCTCTAAAATCCTGATACCCCCCCCCCTCCCAGTGACATATAATTACTATTCAAAAAGTGAACTTCTACTCATGCGGAGGAAGCCGAAAAGGCCATTAACCTGGTTTAAACAAGGTTTCAAATTGCTCCCATTAAAAATCAAATTGCCCCCCTGTGGGGCATGGGCCCCACTTTGGGAACCACTGTTCTAGGCCCTAATCAACTGTTCAAATTCTGACCACAAATTACCCCTCTATTGGCGTTCACCTCACAGAACAAGTCAGTCTTGATGCTTTGCTTTTATATCATTTTTAATGCATATAGAATGCAATAAGAATAGGGATAAATTGTATAATGAAATCCATTTCAGTGGTGGGCTAGTACTCAGTTATTTGATGGAGATAAAGCAGGCTCCATATGAAACAGATATTGACATTCTAATCTTAAATACATACTTTTTTTATACAGATGGTTTCTTGGCAAAAAAAAAAAAAAGACAAGTACTAGTTTGATCTTCTACTTAATTCATTAGATTTATAACCAAATTTCTTCTAGACGCCAGCATGAAACGTCCTTCTCTCACCAACTGTTCCTACCACAACAATCCTGTGACGATATTGATTAAAGTCAGCCAATTAGCCTCCATGACTTTGTAAGAAGTTGAATCTGAGTCCCCAATCCTGAACAGGTACACACACACAGGCTATATTTTATCTTGGATCACCATCCCAAGCACCCAGCAAAGATAACCAATAACTTGTCAAATTCAATTACATGGTTCCATTTTTTTATTTTCATTGGAAAGTGCCTATGCCTACAAGTTGGTGTGAGAGTTCATAAGAACAAAGGGGACGGGGAGGAAATACCACAAATGAAGGCTTATGGTGGATCAGTAAGAAATGTGCTGGGCCTCCAGGGATTTGCAATGTGAACTCATTGTTCCAAAACTGACTGAAGAACCTGTGCAAACACACAAGGTTTCCCCCTTCACACTCCTGTCTCTGCAAATCAAGCTTACCTTATAATTGCTGGAATTTACCCACGAGGTAGCAAGGCCATCAACCATTTTGTCCAGCATGGTCTGATCATGTTCAAGGTCAGCAGATTTCTGTTTATCTGAGAAATAATCTATCAGTTCTTGGCCAACCTGAAGTCGTTTCCCAACATCTTTCTGCAGGACCTGCATCAAGCAGGACTCCATTGTGGGTTCCATAATGTTCTAGAAAGAAGGCGGAGACAAAAGTGAAACTAGAGGGCGGCAGGTTTGAAAAGTCCTCCTGTAGATATTATCCTTGAGGTCGCCTCTTTGTTTGAAGAAGGTTACCAAGGTCCTGGATTTCAAAGATGTGATTCTGGGAATGACAACAATGCACCATGTGTGTCTAAAGAGCAGCTGGCAGGTTATTAAAAGTTCAATTCAAAAAACTAGTAATAGATAAATAAAGCAGAAAGCAGACCAGCCAAGCTATAGGACCAGGTTTGTGGTGCTTTCCAAATCAGCAGTCCATCCTGAAAGAAATTTTAAAGAGGCAAAAGTTAGTGGCGAATCTTAAGCAGAAATCTACATAGCACAAAATCCCAAATTAGATATCTGACATTTCCATTTAGAAAGAACAAATTTCCCCTGCAGCTCTTTTTCAACGCACCATTATGACAAGCAATTATTAAGTTTCTAAAAGTGGGGACTAAAAACTTGTGTGTTTTTGTATCTTATGTAGTACTGAAGTCTGTTTTAAAATTAAAACATGAAACTTTAATATAATAAGATGTCAAGTGTTCAGAAAATATGCACGCACACACACACACACATCACCTCATTTTTTTTTTCAGTAACGAAAACATGAATCCAATATGGACTATCAGGTATCATATTTAAATAGAGAAGACATTTTGTTACAGGATCTATGCATCCAAACCAGGTACTACATCAAAGGGCCGGGGGGGGGGGAGAGAAAATGCACAACCAAGATACAGAACAGCAAGGTTTAGGTTAGTCTTAAGGGAAATCAATACTGGATGAAGGTTTCTAAATACTAAAACAAACATCATATTTAGAATATGGCTTAACTGATACTGTGGGAGATGTTCCATAATCAGGAATGTCAGAATGCTATTCTGAAACCTTCTCTTGCTTCAGGGCAAGCAATACACTGGCAAGAATGTTACGTCATTCACAACACTCTCAGAAAGCATCTTCAGGTCTCCATATATCTTTGCCCTCTTTGGGATTTTCTGAACTGTGCCTGTCTTTCCCACTGAATGTTGTCAGAGCTCTTTGCAGGATCCTTGCTAGAGTTGTGCAGCTATTTGGATGCAATGAAAGGAAGCTTCTTCTCTAGTTACACATTGATTCTATTTGTCAGCAGCTTGTTAGAGAAGGCATGGCTTTCTCAAGGCTTGCCATACTTGCACCCGAAAATATGTGAACTAAGGAGGTGTTGAGGAGAAAGCAAACAGCCTTACCACATAGCATTGTCAAATATCTCCTTACTCGACTTGATATAAAGTTCTTATTGTAAAATACAGTGCTTGGTTTCTGCCAGATATAACAACACCCAAGTAGATTCAAAAGTTACTCATTTGAGCTACCTATCCACAGAACATTCCTCCAGGCTATTACATGTTTGTTTGTTTGTTGTGCATGTGCGTGCGTGTGAACTTGAAATGACCATGAATGTTCTGTTTATTGAGCAATAGCTTCCACCTTAGCTCTCTTCCATGAATCTCATGTTTATCCAATTATTTCTTTCTGTCTCTCTTTCTCTCTTTCTCTCTCTCTCCCTCCCTCCCTCCCTCCATCTGCAACGGGAACCAAAGTTTGTGAGATTTCTACAGTGAATGGCCCAAAGCAACCTACATTGTTTAATGAAGCTACCTTTGATTATTGGATTGAAATGACTGTATTAAAGGGGCAATTAATACCAGTGGCCCATTGCATGACAATACTGTGCTTATGAAATAAATTTCCATGTCATTCATTTACTCAGCCTCTCTTTATAAATCAGCAGCAATCACATGAAGCTTTGACAATATCCAGTAAAAAAGATACTTCAAAACTTCAGAAAATCTGAAAGGAGAATCTGCATTTAAATTGTGCATGTGTATGTATAGTTAAAATCTTATGGCATCTCAAAATCTTGCAAGATTTCAGCATTCAAACATGAAATCACATGAGAAACAAACTTTCAGAAAGAGAACACTGAAATCTTGTGAGCTGCCGGAGTGAGAATTCTGTAATCTCAATATGTCAATTATTGTAAATTTTTTAAAAAAAGTATTTTGGTACCCAATACATTAGACAAATTTTTGTCATGGTGTTCTCCTTCTGAAAAAGCTGCTGAATCTACCATATACATATGTACAGTACCTTTAATACAAATGTGCTAATATAAAAGCTGGATTAATCACATTGGTGTTGGAATATTCCAACTGCTCAATTTTACACATGCCCAGTCAAAAATAACCCTCACTGATTTCAAACTTATCTGGGAGCCAGCCACCTTGAATAAATCGATAGGTACAGGTTAGTTCTCAACTTACGATCACAATTGAGCCCAAAATTTTCATTGCTAAGTAAGGCACTTAATTCTGTTTTTCCCATTTTATTATGCAAATCACTGCATTTGTTAAGTGATAATCCATTCATGTGATCATTAAGCAAATCTGGCTTCCCCACTGACTTTGCTTGATGGAAGCCGCTGGGATGGTTATAAATGGTGATGACATGACTTGGGATCATATATGCCATAAATACATGTCAGTTGCCAAGCGTCCGAATTTTGATCGTGTGACCATGGTGAATGCTGCAACAGTTGTTAAGTGTGAAAATTGGTCATCAGTCAGTCCGGGTGTAACTCCAACTGGTCACCAAATGAATGGTTGTAAGTTGAGGACTACCTATATAAATTGCAAATATCAGGTATCATGATACCTACTGGCAAAGTTCTCTAATCTCAGACACCTGGCATCCTCAGGATTTCTTTCTGAAGGCAATCGAGCTCCTAAATTGACACACTCCTATTTCTAATGCAACTGAAGCCATGAAATTAAATACTATGGATTATCATAATTCAAATAGAAAAAAAGTTGGATTCAGCTGTCAGTTCGCAGACTCCCCTTGTTATGACTGCTAATTTAATGACTTCTCTGAGGTAACACCAAATAAATGCAGGGGCACTTTGCTCTAGTACCCAGGTTATTAATAAGAAGTGCAACCATAGGTGCAATCCACATGCTAATTTGAAAGAAATTTACATTGCAATGATTGGTATGTACATTTGCAGAAACCTGAGTTGACAAAATATGCATTCTTAATCTCTTAACCTGTTTCACCAGCTAAGGGAAGACAAAAATACAACCGTGCAAAAGGTAGGACAACAAATTGCTTAGAGTAGTTGCGATTAACAAAAGGATTGCTTATAAAAACTGAATTCTTGGTTTCTATCACTACCACACGGTCATGGTAGACCAGTACATGGTACACCAATAGAAAATGATGTGCTCAAGCAGGAATAGGGACCCCAATTGAGAGACCTTGGGAGAAATATTTCCTTAAAACGATCTAAAGCAGCCTTGCCCTTTCAGGCATCCGGTATTACCAGACTCCTACATCAAACAGGTTTCAATATGCTTGTTTTGGCTGCTTGTTAAGAGCAATTTTGGAATGAGTAAGTAAATAAAGAAAAACTCCCTCACTTTACCATGTTAAATAGTGAATGAATTTGATTACACAACCTGAATTTTCAACAAGATAAGTGGCACCAGGTAAACTATCAGGGATGGGTGATACAATCTAGGCCCAAGTTTATGTATGGCTCAACAAATATTTCTTACCAATACTAGTAAGCAGTATTCATGTTTAACTGGGCACTGAAACAATTCAGAATTTTGCTTCTATTTCATTTAGAATTATTTGAATTCATATAAATTAGTCTATTCAGACTAAGCAGGACTTACGTTGGCTAAAGGCTGGATAGCTAACTTTACTGTTTGCAATCTCATCACCATCACCCTCATCACATCATCATCATCATCATTATGAATGCCTTTCATTCAGCAGTGCAAGGCTGCATAGCTAGCACTTCCTTTTTCCCATTACAACACCATGAGATAGATGATCCGGTCACCTTCCATGATTGAGACTGGCCCTGAATGTAGGCCTCTCCAGCAACCACCCAACACCTTAACCACATGAAATACATACATAGAGAATTAATCCAAGTTTTATTTTGTCCTTTTCCTACAATCCAAGCCCCAAAGCACTACTTGCAAGCAGAACTTCCCATGGGCACAAGGAAAATACACACTGCAGGTTCTCCTCATGACAACAGGGCCAGCTCTTCTGTATCACTTTACCAGCAGCTGCAGCCTCACACTTCCCTGCCCCCTTATAACAAAATGAATTTCCCTCATGTGTGTACTCTACTTTATTAAGTCTGACAGATACACAATCTCGTCCTGTCCTCCGGCTATGCTCCATAGTCCTTCAACCTTGCAACCATTCCTTGGAATAGAGGAAAACTCCCACCTGCCTGCAGAGAACAGTCTCTTTACCCTTAAAGGACTCAAGTCCAGCAAGTCTCTTTTCATTTGATAAAAAAGGGCAGAAAATAATAATAATAATAATAATAATAATAATAATAATAATAATAATAATAATAATAATAATAATAATATGACATGCCTCTGGTTCTGCAAAAAAAAAGTAGGGCACGCTTCAAGGAAAATGGGTCAAGTTCAGCAGTAAAGTGTGTGAATGGAGCAGAGATAAAAATATTTTTAAAAACCTTGATACATAAACAAGCAGAGCAAGGCCTAAAGGCATCATGCCATGCAAAACATAAGAAGTGTAGTCTAAGTGACCTTTATCAAATCAAAGGAGATTTCTGCAGATCTGTCTCTTCTTTCCCTTATGGGAGGATGTAGGAGGAGAGCTCCCTTCATCTGCAGGGCAAAGAATCAGAGACTTAAGCTTCCATGAGCTGCAGCTCACTTATCAGACCTCCTGTTTTTTCCAGGTCATCATTCTTACAATCCTCTTCTTTTATGAAAAGCAGCTAGAGCCCCTAAAGTAAACCAATTCCTCCAAAACAATTCCTCTAGCAGAAGAGCTGCCTATTACTGTTCTGTATTCTGTTACTGCCTGCTTTTCCATCATTTTAATAAAAACATTTATTTTAAAAGAATAAATATCATGACAAATGTTCAGCCAACTGCAAGATTCCAGCTGAAGTCTCAAGACATGAGACAAGAAATTGCATAGCAGTGAAAAAAAAAAAAAGAAAAGAAAGAAAAGACCCACAGTTTTTAATTAATGAGTTATAGGACATTGGAAATGTATCATATTTTTTGAAGTATAAGACACACCTTTTTCCCCCCCAAAAAAGAGGGTGAAAATCTGGGTGCGTCTTATACTCTGAATGTAGCCCCGCCCAGCCTCGCATATGGCGATTTTAGAGGCTGAAAGAAGCCTCTGAAAGAAGTTTCAGAAAAAAAACCTCTGAAAGGCT